GGCCCGCGGCGACCGGCGAGCTGGGCTGGCTGTCCATGGCCAGCCGCGAGGACCTCATGAAGATGGTGCGGCCGCCCTACTCGTACTCGGCGCTCATCGCCATGGCCATCCAGAGCGCGCCCGAGCGCAAGCTCACGCTCAGCCACATCTACCAGTTCGTGGCCGACAGCTTCCCCTTCTACCAGCGCAGCAAGGCCGGCTGGCAGAACTCCATTCGCCACAACCTGTCGCTCAACGACTGCTTCAAGAAGGTACCCCGCGACGAGGACGACCCAGGTGAGGCGGCCGGGCAGGACGGGAGCGCCGGGTGTCCGAAGAGGGGGTGAAACCTGGGGGAGGGGGGTCTCTGCGTGGACGACTGGGAAGATCCAACCGGCGTAAAACTTGTCGGGTCTCCTTTAATCGCCGCCTCAGTCAAACTGGGGCGTGGGAACAGGTGGACGAACAACCACCCGGACCTGGTCTGACTGGGGTGAGGGAGAGAGGGGAACCCAGGAGACAAAGATGTATCAGAGGCGCTTCAGAGAGAGGATGCGGTGAAGGTGGAGCTCGCCCTTTCCATACACTCGCGCGGAGAGCTGTCGCCCTACGGAGGCTCCAGTCAGGGAAAAAAGCCCGCATCCTCAAACAGGAGGCCACCCTGCCAGCGTGGTGTTCATCAGGCCGTTTGAAGGCAGGGTCAAGTTACAAGGAGGTAGATTAGGCGTAAGAACGTGGATGAGCCCTTAGATAAAGGGATTCGGGTAGACTGAGAATCCCCTCACCTTTCACAAAAGATGCAGTGAGAGGCCGAGAGAACGGCCGGCCGGCGGTCAAGCCGCCGCCAGATACCCGTCCTCCTGCATCAGGTTCGTGAAAGAGCCTCTCTGTGTCCTTAATAGAACAGGTACCGGGCCTACCTTGAGAGAGACAGAGGCAAAGGGATAGGAGGACTTTAGCTGGGTCCTACAGGTTGTACTTTTTGTACCTTAGCTATTTCAGGATTGAAAAATGAATACCCCAAATTGCTTCTTTCTCATGGAAGCCCAAGAACACCTGGGGTGCAGAGGGATGGCCTGCAGTGGTGTCTCTTGCGCGGCCCTGAGAGGTGGAGATGGAGAAAAACTAAAAACCAGAGCAGAACAGAATCCTGCTTGAGGCTTTCAAACAGATCCCAGGGCAGTGTGGGGAGGGGCTGCTTACAGTGACCGGGAAATAGAGCAGCCTTCCATGAGTGTCAGGCAGAAAGATGTGAGGGAAGGAAGTAAAACCCCTGTAGTCACACACTGCAGAGATCCAAAGGAGCCCTGGTGGCACAGTGGTTAAGTGCTCGGCTGCTAACCGAAAGGTTAGTGAGTTAAGGTTGGCGTTCAAACCCACCCAGCGTCTCCGTGGGAGAAAAGACCTGGCGATCTGTAAAGATTACAGCCTAGAAAACTCTATGGGGCAGTTCTGCTCTGTCAAATGTTGTTGCTATGAGTCGGAATAGACTCAGCGACGTTGAACAACAACAGCAGAGATCCAGGATTTTATGTTAATTGTGTAAATATTCTGCAGCACAGAATGAGTTCATACCTGAAGTTATTCCAGAGAAAGGCTGTCGGGTACAAATATAATGCATGCTGCATGTTATTGTAAATTGTCTTGTAGCTACATTATTGTAAATTGTCTGGTAAAACAAAACAAAAAACAGGTGAAATTATTTTAATAATATATTTTAATTAACCCAATACCCAAGCTAAAAACCTCATAGAGACCCTATGTTTATATATCCCCAATATTATTATTTCAACATGTAATCAATATAAAAATTAATGAAATATTTTACATTATTCTTCAAAATCCTGCGTATTTTACAACAGATCTTAATTTGGACTGGCCCCATTTCAAGAACTGTAGGAGGGCATATAGTTTTAGAAGACATGTCTTCCTGATTTTAGCCTCTGAATTTCTGAGATTGTTATGTAAATTGTCATATAAATTTCTCTGGACTTAACCCTAAAAGTTCAAGGATCTAAGTATAGCTAGAATCATGTCAAAGCACTTAGGTGCAAGATACCAAAAACCAAACCCATTACCAACAAGTCAGTTCTGACTCATGGTGACCCGATGTGCTACAGAGTAGAACTGAGCTCGGTAGGGTTTTCTTGGCTGTTATCTGTAATGGAAGCAGATTGCCGGGGCTTTCTTCCATGATGCTTCTGGGTGGGTTTGAACTGCCAACCTTTTGGTTAGTAGTTGAGTGCAAACCATTTGTGCCACCCAAGGACTTTGGTAGGTGCAAGATGGCACTATATCAATATCCTGGTAGGTAGAGGTATTATTATTTAAGTGGTAAGTTATCTCAGTGACTTTTTGTCTCTGCGGCTGTTTCAGTGGAGGTCCAGGTGTAGAGGCATGCATGCTGTTTGGAGGCAATGAGGCTAACACCGTGCTGAGTTAGAGTGCTGAGTCTGGAGCAGCCTGCCTGCTTAAGTCCTGGCTCTCTCCCATTGCTCACCGTGGGAATATGGCGAGTTACTTACCGTCTGTACCTCAGTTTCTCCATCAGGAAAGTGGGGGCAGGAATAGTGCTGGCTCTATAGAGCCGTGAAGAATAACTGAGGTTATTCCTCGTACAGTACTAACTACTACACAAGAGATTAACAGTAATTTCAAACATCAGAGGGCTCTTTGCCAGAAGTGCAAAAGCTGTTGGGATATAAAACCCTCCAAGATAATAGATGTTCTCTGCCTCAATTGTGGTAGACAGTGAGGGAAATTTTCTAAGCAGAAGAACACTATTGCATGCATTAAATGAGGCCCTGGTGTCTGAGATTTCCCCAGTGGGCAAAAAGTTTGATAGAGATGCAGGATCGTGTCCTGCCCAAAATAAGGTTGTGGACTCCAGGAGCTTCCTTGTACTCTAAATACATAACATCCAAGGCTATGTTAAAACAATTGAATGATAAGTAGTTTTTTGTCATTTTTGTTTGGTATTTGAGGTTGCCTTTTTTTCAATGGAATTTTTTTTTCGGGAGCCCTGGTGGCGTGGTGATTAAGCACTCGGCTGCTAACTGAAAGGTTTGAGGTTCAAACCCATCCAGCAGCTCCACAGGAGAAAAGACCTGGCGATTTGCTCCTGTAAAGACTAGGAAGCCCTATGGGGCAGCTCTACTCTGCCGTATAGGGTCGCTATGAGTTGGAATTGACTTGACGACACACAACGACAAATTCTTCCGGAGACAGGGAGTTGTATCCTTCTAGCAAATAATAATTATAGATATTATTTTTTCACTGCTTACTGTGTACCAGCTACTATGCTGAATTATCATTTAATCCTCACAGCCAATTTATAAGATGGATACTATTATTATCCCTATTTTTACAAATAAAGAAATGGAGACGCAAGTCTAGTACCAGAATTCCATGATTTTGCAAGGCACAGAATTTGGATCTAGAGTAGAGGAAGGTGCTGGACACTTTGGTTATAGGTGCTTTGGAAATAGAATTAGATCTTAAGATTAAAATAGCAGACACTGCCAGGAAGAGGTAGAAGTGACCAGAACATCCTTGTTTCAGATTTCCACTTGAGGGGAAGAATAAAGTCTCCTTCAAAGACAGGATAAATTTAAACAATGGAGTGGACTGAGCATCTTTGTCTGCATCTAATGGGAATCTGCTCCCCTCCTCCCAGAATTGAAGCTGTATAAACCAAAAAACCAAACAGTTGCTGTTGAGTTGATTCTGACTCATGGCAATCCCACGTGTGTCAGAGTAGAACTGTGCTCCGTGGGGTTTTCAATGGCTGGTTTTTCAGAAGCAGATCTCCAGGGCTTGTTTTCTGAGGCACCTCTGGGTGGACTTAAACTGCCAACTTTTCAGTTAGCATCTGAGCATGTTAACTGCCAGCACCACCCAGGTGCACAGGCATAAACTAGATCCTTCTCTAACTTATTTTTTCTTTCTCATCTCTCAGGGAAGGGTAATTACTGGACCCTGGATCCAAACTGTGAGAAAATGTTTGACAATGGCAACTTCCGTCGGAAGCGGAAGCGCCGCTCTGAGGCCAGCAGCAGTTCCACAGTGGCCACGGTGACGACGTCAAAATCAGAAGAAGGGCTCTCCTCAGGACTGGGGGCTGGAGTGGGAGGGAAGTCAGAAGGAGACAGCCCCTCCTCTTTGCTAAGGCCTTCCCAGTCCCCAGAGCCTCCGGAGGGCACCAAGAGTACTGGCTCATCTCCAGGAGGATCCATGCTCACGTCCAACCCTTGCCTCAACACCTTCTTCAGCAGCCTCAGCACCTTAAGCGTCAGCAGCAGCGGAAGCAGCCAGCGAGCTCTTCCTGGCAGCCGCCACCTAGGGATCCAGGGGACCCAGCTGCCCTCTAGCAGCTCATTCCCCACCAGCTCCATCTCAGAGGCCTCACCAGACACCCTGCAGCTGAGTAACAGCACCAGCAATAGCAGCAGCCAGAGGTCTTCCTATTACAGCCCTTTCCCTGCCAGCACCAGTGGGGGCCAGAGCAGCCCCTTCAGCAGCCCTTTCTACAACTTCAGCATGGTCAACAGCCTCATCTACCCCCGCGAGGGCTCTGAAGTGTAGGGCAGCGCTGCACAGACTTTAATATGCACACCTGGAGATCTTGTAAAATACAGGTTCTCTTGAGCTCCCAGGTGACCTTGTGGTTCATTGACCACACTTGGAGTAGTAGCAAGGGTGTAGATCACCCTTTCTACAACCCAGCAGCTTTTACAGGTGTCCCTGAGTATGGGCCTCCCTAGAGAGAACTTCAGCTCACTCTATTCTGGGATTGTTAGCCTGTAAGGGCAGGGACCATGTCTGCTTTGTCCATCACTGTATACTGGGGTTGCAAGCTCCAATGTGTACAGGAGCTAGCTAAACAACGTCAGTGAATGGAGTTGTTGGGTAGGAAACATAACAGCAATTGTGAGTGACAGCTGAAGCGGTAGGGCACGATTGGGACTGAGCAGCTGAAGTCTGCTGTAGGCAGCTGGTTATATCACCTGCGTGGTAGAATTCTGATTTTTCTAGAAAATCCAAAGATCTGAATTTTTATATAAACCTCCCACTTTTTGTCCTTTGCCTCTAAATAAAAATTTTTAAATACTGTACTAGGGAACACCACAAATCCTTGAGCTATATCCAGCTCATGAATCACCTCTGCTTATACTCAGTGTCTGGCATGGGGTAGATAGAAATAGCAATAAAACTGTAAAAGCAAGCAAGCCCTGTGTGCCAGGCACTGTTCTAGACAATTTATATGTATTAGCTCATTTAATCCTCACAACAACCTTGGGAGACAGGTATTATTACCCCTTGTTGTCCGGATGAGAAAAGTGAAACTCCCAATGTTAGGTAACTTGGCCAAGGTCACACAGGATCAAATCCTGGAGCCAGGATCAAATCCAGACAGTCTGGCTCCAGAACTGGTGCTCGGATCCTCTGTGCTAGTTCCTGGAAGATGAAGAAACCAGCATCCACAGGCAAACGTAAGTGGATAGGGGTAGGAATGGAGCTAGATCTCTACTGACCAAAGATTCTGGTTGAAATAAAAATGACTTGCGATGTTTCCCTGAGCAGCGAGGAGAGATATCACCTGTCTTATTTCTGCTGCCATATGACTAAGGTCTGGGGTGACCACTCTCCTACTTAATGACGGCTAGCCTGGTGTACCTTAGCATGTGTCCTGGATTTTTCATTTTTTTAACAAAAGTATTATTAGAACTTATTAGGGATAGTTTTTTTTTTAATGGAATTTTTATAGTTTCTTTAAAAAATAAACCATTTGCAGTCAATTTTTATTTATTTTAGCACTCCCTTTCACTCTCAGACGTATCTCCCATTTGGATAAATTTTTAGGGTCACTCTTCTAGTGCCCAGCACAGTGCCTGGCGCATGACACTCAGCCACTGTTAGTCGAATGAAAGAATTTATTCAAAAAGTACTTCATTAAAATGCAGGTAGTTGTTGGATTTATTGGAACAGTGCTCCATTAAGATGAAGACAATGTCTTATGAGTTGCCTTTGTACCATGCTTTTTGGGACTTTGATGTGAGTGTTACTGATCTGTGGTTTTAATTTAATTTTTTAAGAAAAAGGAGCGCAAGCACATTGTGAAAGACTCAGACTTTTCCCTGTGTTCTTTAAAACTTTCACAACATCGTTTAAAAATTTTGTTTAATTTTGGAATATACATACCCAAAATTATTTGTGTAAAACAGCTTTGTTGAGATATGCATTGCATCAGCATTGCTTTTTAAAAATTATGCAGAAAGAAGACCAAAGAGACTATCCACCCCCACAGGGTGTATACAAAAAAATCGGTTTCTATGACTATTTTTGTATGTGACAAATTGTATGAACTTTTCTATATTTGTAAATTAATTTATAATTTGAACTGGGGCAAAGTTCTTCTCTTCCCAAGAACACTGCATGCAGAGAATCACGTGAAAATAAACTTTTAAGTGGAGCCACTTCGGGCCACCGTTAGGCATTATGGTTTTTTTGTCTTCAGCTTCTTTCTCCTAAAAGAATAGAGATGTGGGGCTTGTGTGTGTGTGTACGAGAGAGATTTTTTTCATTTGATTTGTTCTACCAACCTACGTCTGAAAGGACTAGAATAAAAGAATTCTGTATGGGAAAGGTTGATAGGTGCGTGCCCATGAGCATTTTGTTTATTTGCAGACAAGGTAAGGGTTCTGTCATTTATATGAAACTGAATTTCAGTGCATCAGACAATTTCTGTTCCAGAAAGAAGCGCTGCTGTAAAGCCTCACCAGCGACAGTCCGCAGGTAGAGCTCAGCAGCCAGGGTCTTGAGGTCCTCAAGGGGGCCACAGGTAGTCCATCACTTCCAGGGAAATGGCTAGAAAACTAACTCTAGAAGGAACCTGAAAGACTATTGGTATTTTGGGCTGGATAATTCTTTGCGGGGAGGGGCTGTCCTGTGCATCCCTGGTCTCTACTCATTAGTTGCTAGATGCCACCCCGCATGTGACAACCAAATATGTCTCTAGACATTGCCAAGTGCTCCCTAGGGAGGAATCTTCCTAGATAAGAACCATTGATCTAGATTAACACCCACAATTTGCCAATAAGGAAGTGAAGCCTGCTCCCCTAGTTTGCTGACGTCCTAGGGCTAGTAGTTGAGCCCTTGAGTGAATCAGGCCCCTGGGGCTCCGGTACAGAACAGTTTCTGCCTATGCAGTGCCTTTTCTTCTAAGGAAAATCACTTGTGAGTAGGAGCAACCCAATAATGGAATCGCTTCTCAGAACTGAGATCAACTGGCTTGCCTGTCTCGTTGTTAGTCTGCTCTGGCTCATAGTGACCCCAGGTACAACTGAACGGAACACTGCCTGGTCTGTGCCTTCCTCACAATCGTTGGGATGTTTGAGCCCATTGTTGCAGCCATTGTGAGTTTTAGTTACTGATTATTCATATGGTAGCTTCCTTCTTGGTATCTAATTATTTCTATTAGAGACCTAGGGCAGGGAAAAATTTCCACCAAACAATAAACTCTCCTTTTTGGGGAGGTGAGGGGGTGGGAGAGATTCTTAGGAAGAAAAGTGAGAAAAATGTGACTAACCTGGATTTGAAAGATCTGGATGGCTGATAGATATTAAATGCCAGAGCCATACCATTTATTAACACAAAGGCAAAGAGAAGAAAACATTCAGAGTCTATTTCCATCTCGAATAACTGCAAAAGGCAGCAGGGCAGCCCAGTCCCCACCCCACTTTCATGAAGAAGTTGTGCTATTATGTACAAGTTTCCTTTAGAGGATTGACCCCTGCTGGGTATTGGCTGAGGAGCCCTGGTGGTGCAGTGGTTGAAAGCTCGGCTGCTAACCAAAAGATTGGCAGTTCGCATCCACCAACCGCTCTTTGGAAACCCTGTGGGGGCAGTTCTACTCTGTCGTTTAGGTCGCTATGGGTTGGAATCAACTCGACAGCCATGGGTCTGGTTTTTGGTTTGGGCATTGGCTTGTAGGGGAAGGAAGTACTGCCTGTGCCCATGATGTTTCCAGGTCAAAGTCTGCCACCAGCATTCCAACTGGCACCGATTTCCTAGATCCTCAACATTTTCTGCCAGGGAACTGGTCAAAAATTCTGGATCTGAGCTAGATTTTACTTTCCATAGTTCAGGTCAGCGCACAGGAAAAGGTGTGGTCCCGTGGCAGGTAGTAGCCCCACCGCCACCCCAGGCTGGGGGCTGATTTGGGGTTGCACACCAGGCAACTGAACACATTTTAACTTAAAGCAGCTGTCTTCAGTCTTCTAGGACCTAGTGTACCATTTAGAACAAGCCAGGGGCAAAAGAGAAACTAATAAGCAGGTTTCAGGTTTCTTTCTTGACACTTTTAGATCTTTCATCCCATTCTTGAGCTTGCTGGAAGAAAAGGCAGCCAGGGAGCCCAAAGGCTTCGAAAACAGTGTATGCTTCTGCACCCGTCCCCTTCCCAGGGTAAACTGGGCCAAACTTTGGTCACAAGGAAAGTCACTGAACTTCAGGTATCTACGAAACTCTGTCTTCCTTCCAGAGCCTTCCCAAAACTTGGAAAGATCCTACTCTTCAGGATCTAACTGGTTTTTGTTTTCAATAGCTGCCTTAGTAAGAGAATGATGAGAATGCCTTGAGGTTGTTAATGAAGAAGAAACCCCTGGCGGTTTCCTGCGGCTGGGCGTTTGCTGGTTCCTGAGGTAGAGACCTGGCGGCCAACCTGGCCTTGCCTTTATCATGGAAAGTAGTCAGCTGGGGCACGTGACTGGGTGGCTGGCACCGATGAATGAAGAAGGAATTTCCTGTCAGATTTGAAAACAAAAAAGGCCAGAAAAGACCAGATACCTACTGAATTCCTCCCTGCTTTTTCATTCATGATGTCAGCGGATTTTTGCCAAAACCCTAGGAGGCAGAGAGTCCTTTATTATTTTAAAAAAGGTAAAAATTACAATAATAATAATTCACTCGCTGTGTGCCAGGTACTGTTCTAAAGCACATATTAAATGCCAACAAGCCTGTGAAGGAGACTTATCCATTTTACCAGGGAGAATACAGAAGCCCGGTAGTTTATATACCTGGGTCGTAGTCGTGGAGCTAAGTGGTCGCTGCTGGTAAGTGGGCGAATGGGGATTCAGGATCAAGCCGTCTGAAGTCAGGAGCATCCCCGTTGCCCTTGAGTGGACTCCACCTCATAGCGACCCTGTAGAACAGAGTAGAACTGCCCCACAGGGTTTCCAAGGCTGTGATCTTTACAGAAGCAGTCTGCTGCATCTTTCTCCCTTGGAGCGGCTGGTGAGTTCGAACCGCCGACCTTTCAGTTAGCAGCAGAGCGCTTAACCACTACCTGCTCTTAAATCCCTATGCTGCTTCTCCATTTTGGAGACTAGAAAAGAGGCACAGAGAGGTTCAGTGCTTGCTGGTGACAGGCTCCTGACACTCAGTTCAACGATGTCCCTTTCAGGCATTTCCTTTGTGTCTGGGGCTCCTTTTCTTAGGTACCCAAAGGTAAGCAGTAGGAAGAGAAGTCACTTTTCCTTGACTTGTCCTCCTCTTCAGGACCTGCTGTAACCTGTGCAGAGGCC